CGAGGTGGAACTTACACAACATTGAACTTCTTAACCATGGTCAGACTACAGTAAGTGTAAGTCCATTCACATGGTTGTGTGACCACTTCCACACCCATCCACTCCCTGCACAGAATAAGCCATGCTTGACTCGAGAAGCAAGCAGCCAGATGTCTACCCCCTTTAAAAGAAGTGGACAAGTGAGGTCCACTGAGAAGGAAGTCACTCTACTTGACATACATTTATCAAGGGACCACAGCACTGCATCTTCTCTGCTGTGTCCTGGGAGGGAGCAGTGCGCAGATTAGTCCCAGCCTAGAGTTGGGAAAGTCACCCCAGACACCATAGGGAACACATTCTGCCAGCTGGTGTCTCTGTTCTGTGAGACCCAAGCCCTCCAGGCCTCCTACTAGACCAGAATACAGGACGCAAGAGAGGGGGTCGAAATGTTGGCCCAGCCAAGATGGCTCCACACACATCTCCTAGACACTGTGACTGACCCACAGGGTAGCAGATGATCTTGTAGGACCAATCAGAGTCTTCTCTGGGGTTTGCAATTGGATGCTGAGGGGCAGACATTTCTATCTGTGAGGTGGCTAAGAGGGTGGATGTAATTTCTGGCCTATTTTTAGTCTTGTACAGACACCTGAAAGAGAATCTAAGGACCAACAGTACTGTCTGAACATCTGCCTTGCTATGCCCCAAGCTGGCCTGCATAGCTTCTGGTTAAGGGAGCCAACCCAGTATCTTCTGCTGTAAGTGTATTTGGGTTGCAATCAGTGGAAAGGAAGAATCTCATTAGGAAAAAAACCCGGGTCCAGTGCTCTGCTCGCTGTACTGAGTGTGGGTCACCAGGTCTCAAGATATTCTTTTAGGTCGTAAATTGCCTTTTCTCAAAATCTCTTAGAATTGAAATTTTGTCAACAAGGCCTCCCCCCCCCACCTCGCAGGTCTGGCCCAGGTTGGGCAGAGCTGAGCCCAGATGTGTTTCTGTTCTTCCCAGGGCCACGTGGCTCACAGTCATTATGCAGACTGCCTGAAAAGAGCATATTCAATACTCAGTACCCCAACCCAGGTGTAGATTTAAGGCAAGGCTTCTTTTTATTTATTTGGTATCAGAAATCAAACTCAAGACCTTTCACTTGCCAGGCACGCTCTTATGCCACTGAGTTATATCCCTAGTGGTAGGGATTCTTTTTAAGGAAACCATCATGACCACCACCAAACATATTTCTTCCAAAAAAGCCCAAGAGGACAGAACTCTGTCAGATGATGCCCTGCCTGGTATGTCACAACCATGGGACATTCCAGCCTGCAGCGTTTCAGTTTCAGGCTCAGAGCTCCTCAAGAGGAGGGGACCTGTCAGTGGCTGAAACTCAACTGCTCACCCAGAGGGTATTCCTAGAATGGATGGCGGGAACAGGCAACATGAAACAGAAGACTGCTTTGCTTTTCAGCTTCAAAATCTCAAGTTGTCTTTGGGCCTGTGCTCCCTGGTACAAAAAGGTAGGAGAGGGCACAAAATGGGTTGTGCAATACTAGCAGGACATCACAAAGCTGGACACGTGCGAGTGGACAGAAACAGCATGGGCAGACACAAAGGGGCACAGAAAAGGAGAGAGATGGCAGCAACCTGGGGGAAAGGTAGGGAGTCACCTCGAGGGTGTTGAGTCAACAGGGAGAGGGTTGTGCACTGGCTTCTGTCGTCTGAGGCCAGCAGGCTCACATATATGTCTTTGCTTCCGTGGTGTCACAATGTCCCCAAACCATGCAACGCTCTGGCATGTCAGGTGGCCTGCGGAGGAGCGGGCAGCAGCGCGGGAACAAAGCGCCCTCATCCTCTCCTTTATTTATTCCACACTGCAGGCCTCTGCCCGCTGGTCTCCTGCTGGGTGCTGGGAACACAGTTAAAAGATGAATGAACCTGTAAGGTCTTCGTTCACACCAAGCTCGGGGCAGACACAGGAGTCGGATATTAATCAAATAACCCGGCAAAGAACACAGTGGCCACAGGCCCAGCTGACACCAGGCACCTGGCTGCTGCCATTCCCAAATGGGCTCTGGAGTTCTAATTAAGGAAGAAAAGGGCGCCAGTGAGGCCTGCCTCGTTTTTCATGACTGAAAAACTGGCTCTGGCTCTGCTTTCCTGTCTTTCTCAAGGCCCTGATATTCTGCTACATCTCCAAGCCCCTTTTCAAATGTTTACACTGGGTCTTGCTAAATCACATTTAGGATCTTCCTGTTTCAGCTTCCCACATTGCTAGAATTACAGGCATGCCCCACCACTGCTGGTCGAGAATTTCTTTTGTTAGAATCTGGCTACAAATGCATCCTTGCCCTCTTACCCTGGTCTCACAGAAGTCTTCAGAGGTCCCTACGTGGCCCGCAAGGCAGTTCTGACTGGGCAAGCCCGGCCCCACGTGCAGTAACCGCCGCGAAGGTGCAGGTCCGAGGGAGCCTGCGCAGAGTCGAGTCACGCACGCAGCGTGCCCAGGCCGAGGGTCGGCGCTACGCGGGGGCGGGGCTTCGGGCCCAGCGCGCGTCTCCATTGGCTCTCATGGGTGTTTCCTGCCTACGCACTGAGGGCACCAGCCACAGTCTTCCGGTTAGCTCTCCACGACTGCTGCTTGGGCGGGAGTCTAAGGTAGGTGTGAGTTTTAATCTGCTGGAGCCGTTCCCAGGTAAGGCCGCATTGGACCAGGCCCTGGGACCTTTGGGAAGCGTCCCTAGCCAGAAACTGGGCTCAGAAGCCTTTCGTCTGCCCTGAATGGAGTGCCCGCCTCACAGGCCCTTCGCGTGGATGAGGCCTCAGGGCTCCCGTTGTGGGGAGAGCACTGGGGAGTCCTGCCTGGTAGCGTAACTTCAGATGGGGGTGGAGTGGGGGGGGGAGGGGAGGGCGTGAAGGAGTGACTTGGACCCTGCCCCCCAGGGGTCGCCTTTCCTCCCTTTGCCTTGGGTCAGGCGTCCCCAGGGTCTGGATCGGGAGGCTCCAGCTGAGCTTTAAAGGACAAGTCCTCTGTTGGCGTGGGCACTGTGGATGCCATTGCCTTCGTTTTCATCCTTGGATTGAGGATTCAAGCTCAGAGGTCACAGGGGCCAGGCGCGAACAGCAGGGCTCACTGTAAAGGGACAGGCCTGCAGGCCAGACAGGGGCCCCTGAAGTCATCCACAAGACCTGGGTTCCCTGAGGTGAGACAAGGACTCATTTGTAGGCAGCTTCGAACAAAAGGGGCAGTGGCCTCCTGGCGTCCCCAGCTATGCCTTGTGGGGTGTAGGCACGAAGACTCCAAATCTCACATTACTTCTACAAAAGCAGTTGGCACTCCTGATTATTATGTAACAAACCCTCCACTTTTTAAATGTTGGGCTTAATTCACATGATTTTAGCACATGATATAGTCAAAAGTACGTACATGTACCGCGTACCTTGGGATGGCAGTTTGTAACCTCTGTGGTAGGTGTCCCAGCAGAAGGGGACACCTAGGCAGGAGCTAGAGTGGGGACTGAGGCACTAGGTATGTCCCACAACTGCCTGAACTGGGAGAGCTCAGTAGTCACCTTCATTGATGTTGGACAGTCACCCCCTACCCTGTATTTTAGTCTGCCCTCTTAGGGCTGGCACAGATTAGTGGGTAGGGTTTGGGAATGGGAGTGGTCTGAGCTGGAGACAGGGACAGACATCCTGGTAGAGGAGGCAGCCTTAGTTTGGAACTTTCCAGTGCTGATGTCTCTGAGAACATTTTAAAAACGATGATCATGCGGGAATCATGATCCTATTACTCCATGGCTCTGTATTTGTTTGCTTTTTTTTTTTTTTTTTTTTGGCGGAACCAGGAATTGAACTCAGGCCCTTGCATTTGCCAGGCAAGCGCTTATTCTACTGAGCTATCTCCCCGGCTCCCTTTTGTTTTCTGAGACAGTGTCTCACCATGTACTTAAGGCTGGCTGTGAACCAATTGTGTATTAGCCTTGAACTTGCAGTGGTCCTCTTGGCTCAGCCTTCCGAATTCTGGGATTACAGGTGCACCACGTGCCTGACTTTGTGATTGTGAACTGAACTAATTGGGCAGCAAAAGGGCGAGCCTGACTCTTGGAGAGGAAGTCACAGTCATCTCACTCCTCCTACCCCCCTCTTCTGTGCCTGTGGGTGGCCAGGTACACAGAGATGTGCACTGGCTCTTAGGATGCCTTTGGATGCTGTGGGGAGGCAAAAGCTGAACCTTGGTGTGAGGCTTCCTATAGAGTCTGGGGTTGGCAGGAACAGAGAAGGTAGAGTGAGGAAAATGTAAGCAATTAGATCACCTGTCAGGGATAAGAAGGACGTCAGGGGAGAAAGGATTCTAGGGTCTGTTTACCTGGGCCAGAAGAGATTTGGTGCCATTTCATAAAAGTTAGATATTTGCTAGTCATGGGGACTGTCATAGTGGGCAGGCGATGCCAGTGGTACCATTTGTGGAGAATGCCATGTGACGGTGGAGAAAAGTCTTATTCTGTCCCAAACTGGATGAGCATTCCATGTGACCAGGTGTGTGTGGCATTTCTCTGCTCTGCCCTCTAGCTGTAAAGACCCCCAGTTCCTATAAGGATGGATAGGTGAATGGCAATCTTGCAGGGAGGGGAAGAGCAGTTGAGCAGGACCTGGTGACCTCCTGCTGCTCTCTGGTAGCCTCCAGCTGTTCTGCAGTCCAGCCTCATGCTTTCCTTTGCAGGGTAAAGTTCTGAGTGTCCACTACAGCCCCAGTCTGTGCTGGAGATGGCAGGGTGGGTATTGCTGGTAGGACAGCCAGTCCCTCTCCTGTTGGTGTCTGGAAGCCCCTGGCCTGAGACACTGAAAGGCCTCTTGAGGACAGCTGGCTCATTGGGGCTTTGAGCTGAGCCACCTCCTGGCTTCCTATGTCTTCGTCACTTTTGCTATCCTGAGTGTTGTCTGTCTGTCCTGGGGGTGTGGCTAGGGTTCCTTCCAAGAGCTCCTAGGTTAGGGTTCAGACTTCAAATGGCCCTATCCTTTCACTTTTCCCAAGGCCAGGTTCCTGCGGGAAGAGAGAGGTGCCAGATCTGAGGGACTTAAACTGACACCATGTTGGAATCGAGATCCCAAACCCAGCAGAGCAGCAGCCACAATGGCCCAGAGGTAGTGGTGCCCATTCCCAGAATGCCCTCTGCCCTCCTACCTCCTACTTCTCCTGTGTCCCTCACCCTTGGTACCCTTCTTCCTCTGCCAAGGACCTCAAATCCTTACACTTCCTGTGGCCCTCTTCCAGGCTAGCCTGTGGTCCTCAGGTTTTAGTATGAAGCTGGAGGCTGTCACCCCATTTCTGGGCAAGTATCGCCCCTTTGTGGGTCGCTGCTGCCAGACCTGCACCCCTAAAAGCTGGGTAAGTGATGAGGGCCCGCCCCCATCCTCTTCCTTTCACTTTCCTTGCCTGGGCTAGGCTGCAGCTTTTGTCTTTGATGGGAGTGGACATGCACTGGTGCTGGGGGCGCTGTTGGTTGCCTGGGGAATTGGCTGAAGAGGTGCAGAGGGACCCTGGGGGAACAGGTGTGCCCAGAGGGCTGGTGCCTGTGTTCAGTGCACTTGCTTTGAGATCCCTGTGTGTCCTTGGCAGGCACCAGTGCTGAGGGGTGGGACTGCAGTGGAGGTCAGGCCGGGAGGGTGATCCTGGGCAGCCTGCGGTGTACCATTGTGAGCACGGAAACCTTTTTCCTGAGCCAGCCTCACAGTCTGGGGCAGGTGCCTTTGGGACATAACTGCTATAGGAGTTTTTCTCCTAGTAGACTTGAAAGGCCAGTGGGCAGGGCAGGGACCTTCCTTGGCATGTGGAGGCGCCTCAAGACATACTGTCCTTGCCCCTGGGCAGGAGTCCTTCTTCCACAGGAGCCTGATGGACCTGGGCTTCTGCAATGTGATCCTGGTGAAGGAGGAGAACACCAGGTAGCAGCTGCCTGGGTGGGAGGGCAGAGCCTTTGGGATGCTGGCCTCTGGGGCCCTGTCTGAGGTGCCGCTTTCTTTCTGTGCTGGGAAAAGAAGGGAGGAGAGAGGTGTCTGGATCTCTCTATTGTGGGGAGAGAGATCCCCATTCTGTGAAGCTGACTGGAGCTGAGGCCAGCCATCCCCTCTGCTGTGATAAACCAAGCTCAGGTGTTCTGGGATATGGCCCTACAGCTGACCCCTCCTGATGAGAGGAGACCACTCTGAACCACCCCTCACCACCCCACTCAGGTTTCGGGGCTGGCTAGTTCGTAGGCTCTGCTGTTTCCTGTGGTCTCTGGAGCAGCGCATCCCCCCCTGCCAGGATCCCCTGCAAAAGATCATGGAAAGCACTGGGTGAGGAGAAGGATGGAGGTCCAGCCACCCTTGGGGACTCCTTAGAGGGTGGCAAAGGCTTGGGGCAGGAGCGGTGGTGGGAGGGGTGGCAGGGTTCCCCGAGAGCTCCCACAGTGGGGTGGGTATAGACTTCAGAGAACACATGTACATGTGAGTGTGTGAGTGTGTGTGTGTGTATGTGTGTGTGTGAGTGACATGAGCCCTGCGGCCTCCTCAGTGCAGCCCCTGTTCCTGACCCCCAAAGGGTACAGAGCCTGCTGTCAGGGAGAGCCCCGGGAGGTGCTGGGGAGGGCCAGCCGCCTGCCCTGCTGAAGGAGGAGGTGAGGCGCATCCTGGGCCACATCCAGGCCCCACCCCGCCCCTTCCTGCTCAGGTAACTGTGCCCAGGGCCATCTATCCAGGGGTTGGGGTGGGGGCTCTGCCCTCTGGAGAGTAGTGGCTGGGCTTGGGTGAGGGCTGGGTCCCTCTAGGGGGCTCGATGGAGTTTCCTCCATACAGGTCGGTGTGGCTGGTGGGCATAGGGCACTGTTCAGGGAGAAAGGAGCAAAGAGACAGCTGAGAGAAGACGGGCAGGGTGAGCCTGAGGGAACCCAGAGGGAGGCAGAAGAGACAGGTCCTCTAGTGCCAGAGAGGAAGAGGAGCCAGCCATGGGACACAGGAATGAAAGTCTTGTGGGAGGGAGACGTGAGGCATGGCCCTGTGCAGAAAGAAGCCAGTGTGGCAGGAAGCTGGCAGGTGAGAGTCCCTAGGGATGAGCTTGAGAGGCAGAGGGGGTGAGATCCTACAGGGCCATACAGGAAGTATGGGCTGAATAACTAAGAGTAGCAAAAACCTGCTGTGAGGGTCAATGAGTGACTGGGGGTACAGAGTAGAAACCAGAAGAGCATCCAGAAGTGTGTTGTGGATGGTAGAGGCTGGATGAAGTGGGTTGAGAGGCAGAAGAGGTCACGTGACTCTCAGTGGGTTGGGTCATGGGCCTGGTGATGGCAAGAGTAAAGGAAGAAATCATAGGGGAGCCTTGCTCCTGACCTAGTACCTGCTCTGTGCACAGAGGGGTCCAGGCATGGGAGAAATGAGCGTGGCCCAGGAATGGTGGCACAGACTTGACAACTTCCATTGCCTGACCAAGCTTCAGCTGAGTCTATGGGTCTGGGGTTCTGAAGACAGCAGGGGTCAGGAACACATGACAGAGCTTTAGTGGACGGCTGATGGTAACTCCAGGGAGGAGGTCCCAAGAGAGAGAGGGCTCAGGGTTCTGTCAGGCTCAAGGGCTGAGTGGCTGATGGGCAAGGGCAGAACATCAGCTTGGTGACCTTGAGCTGCTCTTCATTTTGTTGACCTGACCCCCTTACCCAAGCCACCAGCCCCTCCCATCTTTCTTTACTTTTGGCCTAGCTTAGATTCCAGGTTTACATTCCTAATGCCCTCAGAGCAAGTCATTGGCACAACCCTGAGCTGGTCTCTGGGTACCCAGGCAGGCAGACAGGCTGAAGAAGCCACTGGGGAGGACAGTTGCTTAATCAGCACAGGTCCCATGGCACAGGCACTGTCCAAGGCTCCCATCTAGACTGTTTCTTCTCAGACTTACTACTGTCTGTGGCTGGCCCATTGGACTCACGGAGAAATGGAAGCCATCAGATGGGGTCACACACAAAGCCGACAGCTTGGTTGGTGTCATTTCCCAGGCTGTTCAGCTGGGTGCTGCTGCGGTTCCTGAACTGCCTCTTCCTGAATGTGCAGCTCCACAAAGGCCAGATGAAGATGGTGCACAAGGCTGCCGAGGCGGTAAGCAGCCACCCTGGGCGGCAGGGCAGGAGCTGAGGCGAGGCCAGGCCTGCAAGTCCAGACTGGCCCCATCGGCCAGTGGGAAAAATCCTCTGCTCTGGGCGACCTTCCCCTCCTTCTCACGGTCCTGCTCCCGTGGGGCTTCCTCTAACGTCTTTTCATCATGGTCTCAGCAGCATCTGTTAGTGCGTCATTACCTTAAAAGTTGTTGGAACTGCTCCTTTTGGGAAACGGCTCAGAGGAGGGGCTCTCAAGCGTGTCCAGGTCACAGGCTGGGGACAGGCTGGGGACAGAGTGGGGACAGGTTGGCACTTGCCTCTGGCTCTCTCGGAGCAGGGCTTGCCGCTCGTCCTCCTCTCTACTCACAAGTCGCTCCTGGACGGGATCCTGCTGCCCTTCGTGCTGCTCTCCCAGGGCCTGGGCGTGCTCCGCGTGGTGTGGGATACCCACGCCTGCACCCCTGCCCTCAGGTAAGAGCCTGAACATAGAGGAGTCCCAGGCTGGGGTAGGGGTGTGTGGGGTGCTAGTAGCAGGCCCCCACGGCCCCTTTCCTGGGCACTGCTCCCACACAGGCCCTGCTGCCCCCAGAGCCCCTCTTACCACTCTGCCCTTTGACCAACAGAGCTCTGCTGAGGAGTCTTGGGGGGCTTTTCCTGCCTACAGAGGCCAACCTCTTCCTGGATAGCCCCGAAGAGGTCTTCGCAAGGGGGGTGGTCCGTGCTGTAAGTGTCGCCATGGCCATGTGGGGACCAGGCTGGGCCACAGGGGTCAGTTTCTGCTCGGGCCTTGACACTCACCCCTCTGCCCCAGGCCGTGGAGCAGCTGCTGCTCAGTGGGCAGCCCCTGCTCATCTTCCTGGAGGAAGCTCCTGGGGCCCCAGGGCCCCGGCTGTCAGCCCTGGGCCAGGCCTGGCTAGGGCTGGTGGTGCAGGCGGTGCAGGCAGGTATAGTCCCAGATGTTACACTGGTGCCAGTGGCCATCGCCTATGACCTGGTTCCAGATGCACCATATGACATGCACCAGGTGAGACCTCTCTGCCCTGGGAACCCCATGTGAATGGATACCAACTCCCAGCAGGAGGCCCCAGTCTATCCTGTGGCTGAATGCTCCCCAGGGGTGGGGGTGGAGTACGTGCCAAGGAGTTCTCCTTCACTATTCCATGGTACTGGCAAGGTCCTACCATTGGCCTCTCACTTCATCTTTAAAAGTACCCACTAGGGAGGACTTGCTTCTGTTTGGTGGATGAGAAAACAACTCAGTGGTCCTGTGTGTGGTTGGGCCCGGGATAGAGCTGAGCAGGCGGGGAGCAGTGGGCTGGAGCAGGTGGCCTGGGGCCTGAACGCCCCTGCAAGGCTGAGGACTCAATTTCCCTCCCCACAGGCCTCAGTGCCCATGGGGCTTTGGACGGGTGCTCTCGCTGTCCTGCGGAGACTGTGCAGTGGCTGGGGCTGCAGCCACAAGGCCTGTGTCCGAGTGCAGCTGGCTCAGCCCTTCTCCCTGCAGGTATGGGGCCAGCTGGAGGGCCTGGGGGCTCACCTCAGCTGCCTTGGGTGGGCCGTGGACCAGGGGCAGCCACTGAGGTTCTTATTCTGGGCAGGAGTACACCACCAATGCCAGAAGCTGCTGGGGCGACAGGCAGACCTTGGAGCACTTGCTACAGCCCGTCATTCTGGGCCATTGGTAGGGCAGGCGGTCATCCCTTGTGCCCCCTACCCAGTCCACTCCCCACACAATTGTGTCAGCCAGAACAGTGCAGGGACTCAACTTGCCCAGTTTGGGGGACATCCCCATGGCTGTAGATTGATCCCTTTATCCTTTGATCTGTACATCTATCTCAGTGCCATTGTCCCAGACACTGAGAAGGAGCAGGAGTGGACCCCAGTCACTAGGCTGCTTCTGGCCCTCGGGGAGGAGGACCAGCTCCTGGTCAGGAGGCTCAGTCGCCACATCCTGAATGGTGAGGGCAGCATGCCAAGCTTTAGGGGCATCCCAAGTAACCCTGCTCTGCATGGGTCACTGTCTGTGGGTCCGTCTGGGGGTGTGTATGCCTGCCCCTCCTCCCCTCAATGCTACACTGGAGTCCTCCCCTGCTCTGGGGAGGAGGGCAGTCAGGGAGCAGCCAAGGATGAGCTGTATGTAAGGCATGGACCCAGCTGTAGCCACCTGCTCCAGTCCCCAGCCCACTTAGGGCTCCCCAGCTCTCTTTTACCCCAGCTGTTAGTGGGGAAAGAGGAGCCAAGCCCAGGTTCAGTGCCTGCTCCAAGAGGGCCCCTTCAGAGCTATCTGCTGAGGGCCTTTCCTGTCCCCCATGGGCTGGAGACTGCAGGGGGTGTGGCAGGGAGAGACTTGGTTGAGAATGGCATCCTGGTCTTCTGGGTCAGGACCCTAACTAGGCCTCTCTGATCCCAGCCAGTGTTGCAAGCTCAGCAGTGATGAGCACAGCCATCATGGCGACATTGCTGCTGACCAAACACCGGAAGGTAGGAAGATAGGGCACTATGTGGTGGGACCGGGGTACAGTGCTGCTGCCGCCCATTCAGCCCTGCTCTGCCCCTAGGGTGTGGCCCTGTCACAGCTGTTGGGGGACTTCTCCTGGCTGACGGAGGAGATGTTGCTGCGGGGCTTTGATGTGGGCTTCTCAGGACAGTTGCGGAGCCTGGTGCAGCACACGCTGAGCCTGCTGCGGGCCCACGTGGTTCTGCTGCGGGTCCATCAGGGTGACCTGCTGGTGGTGCCACGGCCTGGGCGAGGCCTTGTGCACCTGGCGCACCTGAGTGCCGAGCTGCTGCCCATCTTCTTGAGCGAGGCAGTGGGTGGTGAGTGTCCCAGGTTCATGCCTGGGTGGAGGTATGCAAGGAGAGGGGTGCATCTGTCTTCATGGCTGGGCCCTTCTCCACCAGCATGTGCTGTGCGGGGGCTGTTGGCAGGCAGGGTGCCACCCGAGGGGCCCTGGGAGCTGCACGGTGTGGAGCTGTTGAGCCAGAGAGAACTGTACCACCAGGTCCTGCTGCTGCTGCACCTGCTGCCCAGGGATCTGCTGCTGTTGCAGGTCAGGCCTGCCCCTGCCTCTCGAGATCCTGCCTCAGCCCACAGCCCATTCCTGGAAGCCTGCCCCCCTTTATCCCATCCATGAGACCACCTCCTCCACCCCACCTGCCCCTCTTCAGCCCTACCCCATTCAGAGGAACCCTACCCTGCCCCTGCTGCTGAGCCCCAGGAGCTCTGCCTCTGCCCTGCCCTGCCCTCCTAAGGTTACACAGGCGCCTCTTTTCCTAGCCCTGCCAGTCTTCCTACTGCTACTGTCAGGAAGTGCTGGACCGGCTCATCCAGTGTGGTCTCCTGGTTGCTGAGGAGGTAAGTGGGTGGCCATCCCATGCTTCCTGTGCTGTGTGCTGCCCTGGCTTCACCACACCTGCTCCAGGTCCTTGCCCTCATTAGGATGGGACATGCATGCCTGGGAGGGTCCTGCCACACCTTCTATCCACATCACCTGTGTAGAGCTGCAGCCCTGCGGGTGGGTGCTCACGTCCTCCCACACTGCACATGCCGTGGTCTGGTCTGGCTCTAGCGTCCTTCCTGGCTCCTCAGATCTGCTTTCCTGGTATACCCGCATGCACCTAGTCCAAGGGCTGAAGGGCAGATCCCTGACCAACTTGCCAGGAACCAATGGCTCCCATGGCCCCCAGACCCCAGGCTCTCGGCCAGCGTGTGATACAGGGCGACAGCGTTTGAGTGCAAAGCTGCTGTGGAAGCTGAGTGGAGACTTCAGTGACAGTGACAGTGATGACTTTGAGGAGGCACAGGGCCGGTGCTTCAGGGTGTGTTAGGAGCTGTGGGCAGGGGCCAGTGGGAGGGATGCAGTGGGGCACCATCTTCATCCTGGCCTTTCCCCCAGCTTGGTGAGCAGTCACGCTGCCCTGACTTCTTCATCTTCTTGTGTCGCCTGCTCAGGCCCCTGCTCAAGGCTTTTGCCCAGGCTGCAGCCTTCCTCCGCTGGGGACGGTTGCCCGATACTGGTGAGCCTGCCTCCCCCATAGTGCCCAGGGCTCTGCTTTGGGCCTGGTCTAACTCTTCTCTCCCACAGAGTCAGGCTATGTGGAACAGCTGCTGGGGTTCCTTCAGACCAGCGCACAGGAAGAAGGGCTGTTCGGTGAGCCCCAAGCTGCCAGCCTGGGGCTCCTAGGGGTGGAAGGGTTTGTAGTGGCTGCTGCCCCCTGCTGGGCAGTGGTGGCCTGACCCCAGGAAGGAGAGTCACAGTGGGGCCCAAGCCTGGTTCAAGAAAAGCTGTGCCCAGGGGCTCCTTATCCTGCCCTGAGCTTTTGCTTCTCTCTCTCCAGAGTATGCAGACCCAAACCTCGCCCTCAGCGCTGTCTGGACCTTCAGAGACCTGGGGGTGAGAGGGGCCAGCACTGATATCTTTCTGTCCCCTGCTCCTGTCCCCATGCTTTGGAGGTGGCCCTGATGACATCTAGATGGGTCTGCTTGGGAGCTGGTATGCTGGTGGATGGATAGTTCTTACCCACTGACTTCCCTGTCCCAGGAGCACCAGGGTGGCTTGAGACATGAGCTGTAGCATTTGCACTCAGAACCGAGGGGCCAGAGGTTCCAGGGCAGGCCCAGCCTAGAGCACAGGCCTCATGTCTGTGTCACCGCCAGGTGCTGCAGCAGACACCCAGCCCCGCGGGCCCCCAGCTCACCCTGTCCCCTGCGTTTGCCAGCCAGGACAGTCAGCACAAGCTGGAACAGTTCATCCGACAGTTTGTGTGTAGCTAGGTCTCGGCCCAGAGCTGAAGTCATACATAACAATAAAGTCTGTGGTCAAATGGACTCTTGCCCTCCTACCTGTCCCTTGGTGTGTTAAGATGACCAGACACCCTCTTTCCCCATGGTGTGCATGGCTGCTCTTTCCCTAGTCCTGTGAAAATGAAAACAAGCCCTGACATTCAGAGATCATTGAAAACCAGGCTGTTGCTTTTCCTTGCTAAGTTTATTGTGGAGGCTTCTACCTTCCTCCCCGCATCTGAGGAACAGCCCCAAGGTTGGCACAGGCTGGCGCTGGGCCCGCTGGCAGCAGGTGGCTGTGCTGTCTGGTCTGGGTCTGGGCTCAGGAGGGAGCCATTACACCACGTTGTTGATGATGACCCCAAGTTCTTCAATCTCACACTGGACCTCATCCCCCTTCTGCAACAGTGGACAGAGTTCAGTCCTGGCTCTGGCGACAGGCTGCAGTTCCTATTACCCTGCCCATTCTGCTCCAGCTAACCTACCTTGAGAAAGACGGGTGGCTTCCTGAACATCCCAACACCCGGGGGCGTCCCCGTCAGGAAGACATCCCCTGGATAAAGAGTGACAAACCTAGAGCAAAGCAGAAGGGCCAGGTGAGACACAGGCCAGGGGCCATGGCCCAGCCTCGGCACGGGCTCCAGCGCTTACTGGGAGACCCAGGCTATGAGCTGCTCTGTCTTGAACACCATCTGGTTGGTGTTGCTGCTCTGCACCACCTCGCCGTTCACTCGGCAGCAGATCTTCAGGTTGTGCGGATCTGAAATAGAAAGCGCTGTGGGGTCAGCACCCCTCCTTCCCGGCGCCTCCTGCTCTACCCCGCCCAGTGTGGGCCCAGCCTGCGTGCACGTCACCCTTCCAGTGGAGCTGCTGCCCCCACTTCTCTGCTGTCCTTAGAACACGGGCCAGGGGCCACGGGGGTTAGATAAATGGCTGGTGGTCTTGCCTTACAGAAACAGCCATCTGTCCACAGTAGAGGCAGACAGCTGTGACTGACTTCACAGCTACAAAATGGCAGGAACCATGACATCCTGCTGTAGGCAGGCAGTAGCCAGTTTTGGAGTATATTATTCTGGTTAAACTGCACTTCTGCTCTTTGGTGGCAGTCTGCTCTGTGCCTCCAAGGCAGTTTTCTAAAGATGGCATGGGGCACCTTGAGGTGTGGCTCACCCCTGGTCACCCCACCCCTCCAGTGGCCATGCTGCAGGCTGCTCTGTGCTCTTGCCCTTCCGGGTCCTTGCCACTTGTGCACGCAGCAGCTAGGCAAGGTCCTGCTGGTGCTCCCACATCTTCCTCCACGTGGAGACCAGACAGGCTTCTCCAGAGCCATTCCTCAGTGCCCTGGCAGGCTGTGCTTCCTCCCAGCTTAGTCTGTTCCAGCAGTGGCAACTGAGGCAGCCCGGCCCACCCTCTGGTGCAGCTGTTCTGCCATCCACTGTATGAACAAGTTCCTCCACCATGCAGTCCTGTGTTCTATACAGGGTGCAGGAAGCACGCCTTGGCCAGGGCTGCAGCTGCTCTGTGCAGCGGCGGCACATGCCAGCCAGGGCCACACCTCTGCTTCCTGCAGTACGGCCTCCTGACCCTGAGCATCAGGCACAAGTGGCAAAGACCAGGGACCTACCTGCTACACTGTCCTTGGTAACCAAAGCAGGGCCCAGGGGGCAGAAGGTGTCAAAGGTTTTTCCCAACAGCCACTGCTTCCCATTGCGTCTTACTTGCCAGTCCCGAGCACTCACGTCATGAGCCACGGTGAAGCCTGCCACGTGAGCCATGGCGTCTGTGGCCTATGGGGGCAGGGGTTTGTCACTGGCAACACCAACCCCTAGAACAGGACTCAAGGCCATTACCACAATTAGTAAGCCAGAGCTAGCCAAAAGCGAGGGAGCGAGGTGCCAGCAGCAGGGACAGCAGGCCCTGGCAGACGCTCGGAGGTCTGGGCCTCTTCCTTCTCTCTCACCTGGATGTGCTTGCCTTTCTTCCCAATGACCACGGCCAGCTCTACTTCCCAGTCCACCTCCTGTAGGGTAGGAGAGGGCCAGTGACTACAGTGGCCCTGAGCCGAGAGGTGGCAGGCTGGACCTCAGGGCTGGGACTCTGCCAGTGTGCCTTGGCTAGCTCATGTTTGTAGTCACCACAACCAGAGCCAGAATGACGGGAGCCGTGACACCGGGAGCCCTAAGCTGGCATAGCTTCCCCTGTGACTAGAAGAGCAACGTGTCTCGGGGATGGAGTTCAAGAGTTGCTCTTGGTGCCTTCTACAAAGGATGATACCAGCTACTACCAGCAACTACAACTGGCTGTGTGTTAGGCACTCGGCACTATAATGCACTGACTTGCTTTAAAAATAGATCAGCATCCCAGAATTGATGTGGCCAAAGGGTTTAAGCAAGTCACAAACAAGAAATATTCATGGTTACAAATGATGAACCAATGCTCAGTCTCTCCCCAAATCAGCAAAATGGCAGTGCTCGGTAACTAAAACTGAGCCCCTCAAATTAGCTGCTATCTCGAATATAACAACCAGAGGTGTGCAAGCACACCGGCTCCCCATCTCTAATACCAATCCCCAAGGAAAAGAGCTAGGAAATGGCCAATTCAGGTTCAGGACCGAGCACAGAGGTGGCTGGAGGGACAGCACAGCTGGAGGGAAGAGCCCCAACAGTGAGGGGAGGTGGCACACCTTGGCCCCAGTAGCCAGACCGGCCGGGAGCAGAATGTTAGGTTAATGGGTTATAACCAATGTGTATGAGAATCAGGAATTCACCTTCATGTGAGGCAGCTTCTCTTCACATAGGAAGGCAGTTAAGAAGGGTAGAAGACAACAGAAAAATCGTCTGTCGACTCCCCAGTGCACACAGGTTCAGGCAAGGGTGAAAAGAGTCTCTGGGGGGCAAGCAGCAGGGCAGCAAGTCACCTGATCCTGAACTGCATCACTTGTTCATTCCAAAAGGGAGACAGCTTACAGGGACGAGGCCAGGGTCACATCCTAGGGCCATCTGATGGGAGCATCCACTGGGATGCAAGAGGAGGTACACACCGTTTCCTGTGTCCACTCTTGGCAAGAATGCTTAACTGAACCTCATCATGGGGACACAAGACCAAACGATAAACACAATGTGCTGGGAGAAAACTTGACTGGGTTCTTCCACAAGTGTCAGGAAGAGGTGGCCACAGGGACTGGGGTCAGGGTCAGCAAACTGCAGCCACCTGGTGGCCTCTTTCTGAACAAGTCTTCCCAGAACCCCATCATGTTCATTCACATACGACCCCTGGCAGTTTTCACACTGAAATAAGCAGAGCTGAACTGTGGCAGTCACCTGACAAAGGCTCTCATTTACCACAGCCCTCTAGGAAAGGTCTTGAACTCTGCTCCAGATTAAGGCCACCAAACAGCCGTAGCCAAATACAGTGTGTGGCCTTGCTTACTCCTTTTTTGATTAAAAAGAAAAGTAATCACAGCACAAGTCATCTTTGGGGTAACTGGGAGTACACTGACAGGGAATGGTGCACCTACTGACCATGTTCATGTTCTCTTTCTTTGCTGTGGTAATGGTCGAGCAGGCCAGTATCCTTACTCTGAGAGAATGATCTTAATGTCTGGAGCTTCCTTCCCAAGGTCTCTCCCCTACAAAGAGTGTATGTGTTCATAGGGAGAGGAAGTATAGTAAACCGTTAGCAGTGAAACCAGGTGAGGAGTTTCAGGGTTTACAACTTTTTCAAATTTACTGCGATTTCCAAAGCATTTCTAACTTAAAAATTTAAGAGAAAATCTCACCAGTGCTATTAAGGGTATATGCACTTTTTGACACATAAGGTGCTCTTCATGCCTTTTAAAAATGTTAGGCAAAATTTCTCAGAAGTATTGAAATGCTATATTTTGACACAGACATATAAATTCTAAGAGTTTATTCTAAGGAAATAAGCATTTCTGGATGCGCAAAGCCTTTTCTATGTAAGGCTATTCACTGCAACACTACGAAGCCCAACACAAGCAACAAGTTCAGCAACAAGTTCAAGTAAAGTTACTGGTCATACAAAAAACCACAGGGCAACCTAAACTGTACCAGGGGAATATATATAATGGCATGAATAGTATTTTTGGTGAAGACTTAAGAAAAAGTAAGCATAGGCAGGAACAGGAAAACACTGAGAAGGTGTACAGCAAGACATTAATATCAAAAGCTCTACTCAGAAAGCAAAAACAACAGTCCTGAGCAGGGGGAAGAGGCTTTCCAATGAGAATATATTACTCTTATAATGAGGAAAAGATGTCCATTGATGCATATGCCTTTCCTCTGGGAGGCCAGTGCTGTCACTGTACATTCCACCCCTTTAGTATGTTGTAGGCACTAAGGAACCTGGACTCTTGAGGCTGCCAGTGCCCTGCTGAGGGGCCCTAGTGACCTGGAAGGCTAGGGGAGGCACTGACCTGACTCTCGGGGGGCAGCAGGATCTCATCATAGGGCCCCACGATGGAGCTGGCAAACTTGCTGAAGATGATGGGCTCCTTGGGCACAGGCACGTTCTGTTCTTTGCAGTGGTCCACGTAATTTAAGCCCACACACACCACCTTGTCTGGCCGTGTGACTGGGGCCAGGAAGGTCACTCCTGACCTTGGGAGGAGTGGCAGCTGGGCAGCCAGAGCCCTGCAGAGACCAAGCAGGAGGGGCTGGCTGTAATCAGGTCGGCCATCCTATAGTAGGCTTTGAGATCCTGCAGCAGTTCAAGTTTTGCTTTTTAAGATATATTTTCTAGATCTATCAACAGTCAGCATCAATGTGTATATCAAGCCCAGCTATTGTCATTCAATGTCGATCTATTTGTTATTTAGGTCCAATGTTTATTTTCTTCCCCTGATTAGGTAATTCATTTACTTACTTTTTATAAAAATGTATTTGGTAGAGGGTCTCACTGTGCAGCTTGCACTCGAAGTGATCCTCCTGTTTTCAGCCTTCCCAGCACTGGGATTACAGGTGTGTGCCACCACACCCAGTCTCTATTAGATAATTTATGTCCATGCAGGTGAGTTCATAAAGCAAGAGCAGAGCTGGGTATGGTGGTGCATGCTTATAATCCCTGCACTGGGGAGGCTGAGGCAGGAGGATGGCTATGTGTTCAAGGCCAGGCAGGGCTACAAAGTGAGTTCAAGACTAGCATGATATATATATAGAAAGACTTTGTCTCCCCCCACAAAACAAAAACCATGAATGAGAATAAATGGAAAGGTCTCCTTCACCCCTTCTAGTCACCTTGTGCACCTTCCTGGAGCTAGCCACTGTGTCCAGGGTCTTTCTTAGTAACTGCCCCTTTGCAAAGGGCTCCCAGCTGGCTCTAATTCTGGGGATCGGAAGGGACAGTGCAGGGTGGCAGCTGCAGGATGCTGCTGCCTGCCAGTTTACCTTCTTGCCACTGAGAGGCTGGCCTCTCCCTGCTCCAGGAATTGTGTCATCGTTGTGGGAAGTGTGGGGTCAAAGGCATTGAGGTCGATGATGCCACCACCACTCCCCGACTCCAGGCCCAGGTGAGGCCCTGCCAGGTGTGGTGCCTGGAACTGCACTAGTCTCATGTCTCTGCGGGGTTCACAGAGCTGCTTTTGAGCCTGCAGCAGAGCCGTGAGCAACCTCCTCCTGCCAGAGTTCAGCATCAGCACCTGGGCAGAAAACAGCAGCACACAGAGCAAAAGAGATCTCAGAATGCCTTGGGATCCCCACAATTCCTTGAGATGCAGCCCAAGTCCTGTGCCCATGAACCATTCCTGGCCAACCACATGGTAAGCAGTCCAATGTATAAGACATTTCATCCTTATGAAGGGAAAAGATCAAAGAGCAGCAACTACTTCCTCTCAGGTGCTAAACAGTTAGTCCTGGGGAATTCCAGTCTTCCTGTCAGTGTTTTCTGAAAGGTTACAATGTGCCAGGCCACTGCACGTTAGACTCAGCCCTGCAGTCCTGCTTGCGAGGGAGACATGTGAAGAAGTGATGTGAGCAAGGTGCAGCTAATAGGACTGAGCTGTGCAGATGACCCGGAGGGCCCCACCTATGTCCAACTGCTTGGTCAAGTCTGCAAGCAGGGATGGCCTGAAAGGAGCGGACCAGAAGTTCACTAAGAGTGGAGATCAGCACGGACAAGAGGCCAAGGCTAAAACTGGGCTCTTAGCTGTCTCCAGCAGGCACACAGACCTGCTGCTGTCCACTTGAGATGCTTTGCGCTGCTCACATGCCCAAGCCTGAAGCTCCACCAGGCGGCTCAGCCTGCTAGGATCAGCTGCCGCTCTGCAGACAGGAATTACTTAGTTTTTGATGCTGGGCACAAGTTACCTGGGGAGGGAAGGGCAGAGGTTGTGATCAGCTGGGCTCGGCCTTACAGCACTGCCCAGCTGTTTCTTCCTGACCAGGTGCCACATCTGTCCCTCACTGCTCAGTTGATAGTGCCTGCCTCCATGCCAGTCACAGAAGGCTCACAGTGACTGTTCCATGGTCAAAGAAGCAAGGGCTTGAGTTTTCATTTCTAGGGGTGAGCTTGGTGTTATCCCCAGCTCGGGCAATTCTCTTATTTTGTTCTTAATTGGGCTCCAGTCTCCACTCCTCACCCAGACCCTCAACAGCACAGTGCCTTGGTTTTATTTTACTTTTTGCTGTACCAGGGATCGAATTCAGGACCTTACACATGCTAGGTAGGCGTCTATGCTGCTTAGCTAAATCCCTGGTCCACTAGCACCTTCCTTGAAAAAACAGCTCTTTATACTAAAAAATGTGGAGGTAGCTCTGAGTCCCCAATTCATGGACCCAGGTGGGTCAACCTGCTCTGTCCTGTTCAAGACTCAATAGACTGAGGTCACCATTGTGCTGCTCTACAAGTGTGGTAAAACAACAACAAACACGAACCAGGGGCTTTGTGTTTCCTACCTGTTGTCTTATACAAACACCAACCATACCACTGTCAAAAGGCCATCTGAAACACAGTGGTGTGCTTAGACACTCTGCCCACTGAGTGTCTCATGGGTAAATGTTCTATCTGTAACATCTGATTTCTTCTTCTGACAATTGTGGAAAGCAGGTACTGTAACCCTCCCCCCATTTTTTTTTTTTTTCTTTTTCTTTACGGGGGATCAAACTCCGGACCTTGTGATTGCCAGAAAGACGCTTATGCCGCTGAGCTATTTCGCTGGCCCGTTTAGCCCCATTTTACAGATGGAAAAATAAGGCTTATGGAGGTTTAGGGGTTTGCCCAAAGGCCAAGGGTCACACAGCTAAGAAGAGAAAGAGTTGGCGCCTCAATCCAGGTCCAGGTGACACCGAAGTTATTAAGAAACCAGGTGCTGGACAAGCAAGGTAACCTAGCTTCAATCCACCCCCACACCCCTAGGGGGCCAGCTCCAACAGGAAATCCTCCAGCGGCCCTAATGGCATCGGCGCAGCCCTCAGAGCAGGCTGCACACTTACACTCCTACAGAGCCCCAGACCCGGTGACTGTGTCGCTCTCGCGCAGCTTCATTCCACTCTTAGAGCTACCCTCTCAGGTAGGGTTTTCTCATTGTATGCAAGCTGCCACCACAGCTTACGAGGTGCTGCCACCTGTCAACGGGCCCCCGCTGCTTCCGCAGTAACCTTTATGCCCCACACCCCGAGCTCAAGCCAACTCTGAAAAAGTGTCCTTCAGCAAAAACGCCGCGACGGGAGGTGGAAAAGGCACAAGCCTGGCAGCCTGGTCTCGGGCCTGCACTTGGGACCTTGTCCCGCCGCGCACGCGCTCGGAAGCGAAGCGGCCCTCGGCTTTTACAGGTCAGTGCACTCACTCAGTCGACGCTCTGGCGACTGTTCAGAAGCAAACGGGCCAGCTGTGTGCAGCCTTGTGCTGTCCACGGTCACCCTCCCCGCCTGGCTCACACCTAACTTACCTGGCCGCAAGGACCGGTCCTGCCCGGTACCTTTCGCTGTGGCGTCTCAGCCCGCAACGCTGGAGGTCAACGTTGTACACGCCGGGAGCTCGCCAGCGGGAGTACAACACATCCAGAGGCCCGCGTGACACCTCTACAGAAAACGCGAAGTGAGCGGCGCACACTACTGACGTCACAGCGTGTTGGCCAATAGACAGGCGCCTGGCTCCCCACCCCACCCCCACCCCCTAGCCCAGTCGCAGAGGGGCGGGCCCAGAGCTGGGTTCCCAGGCTGTCTTAAGGGTGACCCTTGGGCATAAGGACTGGAGAGTGAGCTTTTTCTTTTTCCTTTTAAGTTTTGCGCCCTGGACTCTGCGTTAGCCTCTCCCCATGCCAGGCATCTTTCTGATCGTTGGGCACAGGTGTTGGAGGAGACAAGTCCTAGGGCACTGGTGATCAGAGACAAAAAAATTTGACTTTTGACTCTGACATATTAATAAAGGGAGGAACGGTTGTAGTAGTCTACTCATGGGGAACGGGAAGTGTTTTGTCCAAAATAACACAGGCAATAGACGTAGTGAAGCCGAGATTCTTGACCCCCACGTCTTGCAACTTCCACCCGCTCAGCTGCCCTGTCTTGTGTTCTTCCTTTGGCAAGAGTGGGGTAATGGAGAGTGAGGCATAACCTGCAGCACAGAGAGCAGTCACAGCTCAACTCCCCAGCTTCTGCTTGTGCAAACCTAACAGTCCCTGGGCAAGAGGCCTCTAAATTAATCAAAGATCACATAGACTATCAGAGGCTTTTCCTGCTCAGTGAAGAGGTCTGGCCTGTGTCTAATCACGCAAGAGGTCCCTGGAAGGTGCTCACCAGGGATGCAGGGCCAGGCATCCACATTTGAGATGTGTGACTCTGGCCACTCCCAGGAAGAGTGCTAGACAAGATGGTGCAGATGAAGGCCATGGGGATTTGGTGGGTGGTAGAGACGGTGAGTGTTCGGGGATGATCAGGGGGAAGACCTGGCAGCCCTCAGTGATGAGGGGAGGCGAATGTGAAAGAAAAGAAGTACAAGGTTGGCTCTGGAGTTTGCAGCCTGTCAGATACCTGTGCCATCCATAGCTGCGGGGCTCCAGGAGGGGCAGTGGGCCTTCTGTGACATGTTTGCAGGACGTCCTAAGGGCCTTGCAGCACGGGTGGCTGGAGACGAGATCTGAGGCCTGGGACTCCAGTGTCCCTTGAAGAAGGACAGGATAAAGATAGCAATATTATCTCTATGGGAGTGGCTGTGTTTTCTGTGGGGAGAAACTCATACAAAACTCCTATCAAGCTGTAGTCCCGAAGATTCTGAAAATACAAGCTACAGTCTAGAAGGAAGTATGTAGTGAAAGGCTTGTATCCAGAATATAGAAAGGACTCTCAGAAGTCAATAAATAAACCAGTTGCAGAGATTGAAAAAAGATTTAAATAGCTATTTTACTGAAGAAGTTACACAGTAATTGGACATGAAACAATGCTTACCTTCATCAGTCATCACAGAAATACCAATTATAGCTACACTGTGATGCACTGCACACTTACACACCGATTATGACAACTGTGGGCCAGAGTTATGGTTTGTGTCTAGATGTCCTTCTAAAGCCTCTTGTGATTGTGGGACCTTTTCAGAGGTGATCTAGAGTGTGCGATACTGGGATTAAGGGTGTGTGATTAGTAAATCTGTGCACTGATTGGTTGGGCATAGTTCTGGGTGGGATTAAAGATGTCAGTGATACATCCTCCCTGAGGCGGAAGGCTGCACACAATATAAGGGACAGAAAGGGTCTGACCTGGCCCTCTTGTTGCCTTGCTACCCTTTGAATGCCATGAGTATCTCTCCTCTGTGACACCTGTCTGCCACGTCACCCTGCCTTGGAGCCAGCTGATCATGGACAGAAACCTCTACAAACTGTGAGCCAAAGAAACCTTTTCCCCTTTAACTTTGGGTGCTGGTTGTTTTGTCTCATCAACGAGAAATTTAACCAAGACAGCCAGCAAGTGCGTGCGGTGGAACTCGAATACTGCTGATGGGATCATAAAATTCTGTCACCTTTGATGACAGAATTTGGCAGATTTTTTTTTAAAGTCAAAATTATACTTACTGCATAATCTCATCATTTCACTGCTGGGCATTGACAGTGATGAATTTTACCTTAGAATTGTGACCCTAGAAATAGTGAAGATTAAGCAATCTCTCCACCATTTGTGTTCTAGGAAACAGTTTAGTGGAAAGAGCCACTCTTTCCCACATGCCTTGGGTGAGACTCCAGATACTCCAAGCCAAACACAGACCCTCCAACTTCCCATTCTGTCCCCTGTAAGTGATTGACTGGGCGGTTTTTTCATGTGGCTCAGTGGGAGCATGTTGCTGTTAGCCAAACCTTAGTTCAGATTTTCTCCTTGCCCCAGGCCCTGGCTGTGGTGTCCTCTGGCCCGGACCACCCTGCAGCCTGCACCGAGGGAGGCTCATCTTGTGAAGCTCTTCATTTGCATCCTTGATGATGTCCTTTGTAATTAGCCAGTGGCCTGTTTCCCTCATGTCTGTGAACTGCTCAAACAAATGAGTCAAACCTGAAGAGGAGCTCTTGGGAACCCCAATTTATAGTCTGTTGGCCAGCAGCCTGAGGATGTGTTATGTCGGAATTTGGGAAAGGCAGTGTTGGGCACCCAGGGCTCAGCTCGTGGGGTCTGATGCTACCTTCAGGAAGATGGTGCCAGAACTGAGCAAATGAGAGGAAACCCCGTTGGTGTCTGCCACTGTAGAACTACACGTTTGGTGTTTGAAAAGAAACCCCACACATCTGGTGTCAGAGGAGAAAGTCAGATCTATTTTTTTTTTCCAAAATATTACGCCTCCTTGAATATTCTGTCAGGTAAAATATAAAGTTAGTTATATTAGCTAAAATATGAACTTAAGTATGAAAGTGGGTACAAGAGAGTAGAGGGCATGGTTAGAATATCCAAATAAATAGGTATAGAAACCGTCAAATTCAAATGCCCACAGCTACTGTGGCCCTCAGTTCCAGAATTAGTCACAAGTCACATCCACTGATGGAAATGCCTTCTTTCTTTCACTGTGTGTTCTGTATTTTTCCTGCCTTCCACAAGAGCCTGTGAACTTGCCTACTTTTCTTTTCTTCCTTCCTTCCTTCCTTCCTTCCTTCCTTCCTTCCTTCCTTTCTTTCTTTCTTTCTTTCTTTATGTTACTGTTGTTGGAAGCTGAAGATTTCCGTTACCTTTGACAATAAGATCTAGTACCAAGCAGTTCTGCAGAGAATGAAGCCCTCAGTCCTTCTTGGCTTCGCTGTAGCAACCGTCTTGCCCTGGAACCAAGATTTCTTCTTGGTAGTGAGCATCATTCACGTCAACTGATGCTTTCATCTTCCCTTGCTCCTCCTCTTGCTCCTCCTCTTCTCCTCTATTTCTTTCTCTAGTCCTTTCCATCTTCTTTTTCCTCCTTTGGCTGCTTTGGTTCAAGGGCATTAGGAACCCAGAGCTACCAGAAGGCTGTCTGTCTTGCAACTCTCTGGGATCATTGTTGCGTCTCCTGGTGGAAACCCTCCCTCGTGAGTGCTCATAATTTCAAGCCAGGGCTGGCAAGATAGCTCAGCGGATTAAGCATCTGCTTTGGCAAACCCACGTACCAGGGTTCCATCTCCAGTCTCACCAGCCCCACCCTGGGGTACACTGAGCCGGCGACAGAGTGAGGGGGTAATGGTGCATGCCTGTAATCCCAGCACTGGGGAGGCTGGAAACAGGAGGAATACCACAAGTCCAAGCTGCGTATTGAGATCCTGTACCAAATACATTAAAAATAAAAACAAAACAAAACATAATTCCACGTCAGCAGAGCTCAACATGGTCAGACTAGAGAGCAGAAATCCTGTGACTGAGTTATTCGAGACGACAGAGAAGCCACTCCACTTCCGTTCTATTTCCTTGGATCCCATATTCTAACTGGGTGGGAGACAGCTCTAGGCAATGGGCTCTTGATTCAAACATGTGCTTCGCTCTGCAAGACATATAACTTTCTCTTTTCAACCTGGTGTCTCCCAACTCACCCAGTAAGGCATCCAACCTTCAGCTAGATCTCTGCCTCCAGAGGGTCGGCACCTGCTTAGAAAAGTCTTTTACTTACAAGGAGCAGTGAGCTCCCTGGTGAGACCCAGTGTGGTGCAGAGTGCCCAGTAGGGGTCATGTTTTGGGAGTCCACAGACGATGATGCTGGCGAGCTCTGTGGGCAGGGATGGGAGCAACGTACCAAGTGTGATAAGCATTTATCTATCTATCTATTTATTTATTTTTTGCGGAACTGGGGATTGAACTCAGGCCTTTGCGCTTGCCGGGGAAGCGCTTATTCCACTGAGCCATCTCCCCGGCCCCATAGCATTTATCTTTTTTAAAAAAATGTGTTACAATGAAAGACACTTTGCTGTTAATTCATTGCAAAATCCTTGCCCCTCCATTCAAGTACAACTGTGCCATCATTCTTACCATTTTCTGAAGCAGTTCTGGAAATCTACTTTTGCGGATGTTTTTACTTGTGCTGTTATGGCTACCTCTATATTCCTAATGAATTCAAAACATTGACCTTTTCTAATCGTTTTGCCTTTAGGGGAATCACATGGTACCAGATCCAGTGGATATGGTGGAGGAGGAAACACCATTGCTTTTTTCAGGAGGTCTTGCTGTGCAGCTCAGGCTGGCCTTGAGCTCGCTTTGAAGCCCAGGCTGGTCTCCAACTCGCACCCATCTCCCTGCCTCAGCCTTGCGGGTGCTGGCCCACACCTGGGATTAGAGGTGTCTGGCACCATCATGTATTTTGGGTCAGCCTTTCCACTCGGCATTTGCCACAGTTGTGATCATGGCATGTAAAGACGCTTACAAAAGAGGACTTCCAGGAGAGCTTCAGAAGTGGCCTGCACGATGGGGTAAGTGCGCCTGAAGGGAGGGAGGAGTCCCCTGGGGTCGATTAATAGCCATGGGGCTTCTACTGTAATATCTTGAAGATTTAACATTTACAGTATTTGTTGATTCTAAATTGCATTCTGCTGTTCTATCCCCATTCCCTGGCA